TTTTACTTTTAGTCATTTAGCAGATGCTTTTATCCAAAGCGACTTACAAATAAGAAAGTAATTAAAACTAAAAGCTAAAACTCTATAAATACTATATATATACACACATTTAAGAAAATAAAAGAAATTAAATAAAAATGACAAATGCATACAACATTTCGAAACTAAAACATTTAAATGAAAACAAAAAAATAAAGCTAAAAACAATTCAAAAATATTAAAAGAACAAAAGGTATGAGTATAATAATGATTCTAACATAACACCAACCAAAAAACAACTACATATGTGTATGTACAGCCACACACATATACATATACATGTACATATATATAAATACATTAAATATATATAATTTATTTTCAGTGCTTTTCCTTGTGACAGTGAATGTTTTTCATACTAAAGCGGTAGTGGCCTGTGGTATATTAACAACCTCCAGAAACGATCACAATACACTACTATTCAAATTAAAGGATTAATTAAAGGTCTGTATGATTTTTTTTTTAAATTAAATTAAGTTTATGCTAACCAAGGCTCCATTTATTTATGATTAAAAATATTAATATTGTGGAATATTATTGTAAATTAAAATAACTATTTATATTTAAATATATTTCAAATAAAAAAAAATTCCTATGATGAGGAAGCTGAAATTTCTTCAGTCATTACTCCAGTCTTCAGTGTCACGTGATCCTTCAGAAATCATTCTAATACACTGATTTAATTTCTTATCCATGTTGAAAACAGTTGTGCTGTGTAATATTTTCTTTAATGGACATATTTTCAAAAAATCTTTGTCACTAAATCAATTTAATGCATAAAACCATTGATTTCTTTAAAAAAAAATGACTGACCCCAAACTTTTGAATATTTGAATCCATTTTATATATTGCTGAGTTATATCACTGGAATTTTTTAATACCATTGGCCTGCTCCTTAAAATAATGCTGATGTTTGAAATAGTTAAATTAGTTAAATGTGTCAGTACTCTGATAAACGATCAAACAAATGGGCAAATTGGAAAAATAGCGTAATTTGATTTTTTATTTATTTATTTATTTTTTATCATTTGTAGGTCTACATTTTTTATGAACTGTTTTTTTGCAGTACCTCGCCTAAACCACAGCGGGATGGCGCAATATGGAGTGCAAGAATGATGAACGCTTCATGTGTTAGCCGAGATTTGCTCTTTCGGACGTTTTCGGCTCATTCCGCTATTTTCCGTCCCGCTTTCACTAGTTCTCAAGCAGTCCTGCCCGCTTCGTGCTGTGCTGGAAAATGGCAGTTCGGTAAATTGAAAAGATTCGTGCGGAATGAAAAGGAAAAAGAAATCAATCCTGTAGTCTGCTGAGGGAGTAGATGGGAGTTAAAAACCTGAGTCCGGCCGAGTGTTAGGATCGCACATTTATTCGCACGCGCGAAAGAAAACCGTCAAAGCTTTTGCAACGACTTGCCACGGGTAAGTTTTCCCAAGTTTTGCACATTGCGTTACTGTACTCTACTAAACAGGACGGCTAGCTAGCAGCCTCCAAATGTGGAAAAATGGTGGAAAGGACACGAAATGTACTGCTACAGCATACGATATGTGGACTTGTTTGCTTCTAACGATAAGGCAACGGTTTAATTTCTTTGCAAATTTTCGACTAAATCGCGGATTTCGTGGGCGACAGAAATGTGCAGACCGATATGCGTTAGGTTTGCATGATTCAGAAGCATGTTCGCCTTGTCTGATCAAGGCAGCAGATACACAGTTAACACCCTGCAAGAGCTTCAGCGCGTGACAATGACTCGAGCACTTACTGAAGTATTTATGCCACAAACTGAACTTTTTAAATATGATTTAGACCGTTCTGAATTTGAAGTGTCCATTTGTCAGTCACTGCTTATATTCGACGTCTCTGTTCTACATTATACAGCAGTTCTAGCTAATTTTAGTGATGGTGGTAGTGTTGATCATTTCAGTATAACAACACAAGGATTTTTCACTGTTCTTGTCTCAGAGCGAGTTATTCTCAGGATTGTACCAAGAGTGGGGAATGGAACCCCCGGAGTGGAGCCTCAGCCGGGACGGTAAATCTCTCTCGCTCCGTTCCACTGTCGTTTAGTCTATGCGTCGCGCCTAGTTAAGCTTGCTTTAGCTAAGCGAAGAAGAAATATACCAAATGGTACATTTCAGTTCAAAGTCAGTTTGAAATGAAAATGAAAATTCACCCTAGCTATTTTGTGAATGCAAGTCATAGTTATACATTTGCGGCCATATTTACCTTTGTACGGTGAAATGCAGTCATTTGAATAGGAATACGCGCAATCTGGAATTTCGAGGCCAAATATTTAGCATCGGATGTATTCAAGTTTGTAAAACTTTGAACGCGAATTTGCCGTGTTTACCAATATAAAACTGATTAGCTTGGAAGTCTGAACTCCATTACTTGTGTTTGTTTTCAGACATGATAACAGACGTTTTATACTTGTGCTACAACTTTTTGGCCTGTGCTACAAAACTTTCAACCTCTGTAGCACCAGTGCTATGTGAAAAAAAAGTTAACGTACAGCCCTGCTGTAATGCATTGCTACACTATTGATAATGGACATGGACCTGGACCTTCTTTGCCTGTGAAATTTCGCCTAAATTTTGCTAATGTGACCACACCTTGTAAATTATTTATCCATGAATATGTTTCTTTTTTCCCCCTCAAAATCCAACGAATAACCGACTGATAGAACAAAGTACCCTTCTTTTTAAATTATTTGTTACACTCGGATGTACCTCACAACATGAAAGATCTGTTGCTACTTTTGTTTCATCTTGACTTTAGATTACTAAAATTCTAAATAATTTAAAGGGGTCATAGGATGCTACATGCACTTTTACAAGTTGTTTGAACTGAAATGTGTGTTGGCAGTGTGTACACAAACACCCTATAATGATAAAAATCGGAAAATGGGCATCCTATGACCCCTTTATGTAACACTGGGGGAAAAAATCTAATCAAAATTATAGGTGGAAACATCTTGTCAACATGACAATAATTAAGAAATGTAAGGTAGTAATATTTTTTCTCTGATCTAGCATTAAAGGATTAGTTCACTTCCAGAATAAAAATGTCCTGATAATTTACTCACCCCCATGTCATCCAATATGCTCGTGTCTTTCTGTCTTCAGTCCCAAAGAAAACATTCCAGGTTTTTCCTCCATATAATAGAATTTAATGGTGACCAACAGTTAGATGGGCCAAATTGCAGTTTCAATGCAGCTTCAAAGGGCTGTACATGCTCCCAGCCGAGGAATAAGGGTCTTATCTAGAAAAATCCTGGAATGTTTTCCTCAAAAACCTTAATTTCTTTGTGACTGAAGACAGAAAGGCATGAACATCTTAGATGACACTGGGGTGAGTAAATTATCAGGACATTTTTATTCTGGAAGTGAACCAATCCTTTAATGGACAAGCGAGTAGTCCTGTGGCTCCTGCCCCAGACTCACACCATTGGATGAGCCAATGTTGCTGTGTTGGGCCGGTCAGGATGCTCAAACAAACAGAGCAATGTTTTGAAAGCACTACAGTGTTTACATTTTTCATGAGAATGAACATGCTAATGGCTTACTTATAGTTGACTGCACATTACCTTTAGAAAGTATTTTAAAATAAAAGGACACACTTTAACTTTAATGAGCAACATTGTCCTTATCTGAAAAATTGCATGCAATATATCCAGAGGCTATGTTCTGTATGCGGTTCCTTCAGTCCTGCACACTCCAAGCTTTAAAAGGACATATTGTTTGGAGAACACTGTCTGTCACTAGACTCCTGGGCATTAGTCAAGGTACTTCGGCCAATGAAATGAGAGAGGAAAAAATATTGCATAAGCTTTCCGTACCCAGACAGGCTCATCGTTTTCCTCCTCAACGCACATTTGCAAAATACTGTGACTGTCCTACTTTCTTAAATCTTAGACTGGTCTCGTGGACGGATTAAAACTCCTACCTTGGTAGCCTGAGGCTGAAGACATGCACAGTATGACAGAGAATCCTGATCCTGTTTTCTCAGTAGAACTCCAGAATCCAGTCCTTTTCCCCTGCGTTTGAGTGATCCTAATAATGTTTGATTTCAGTCAGATTATTACAAAAATGTGTCTTTTTAAAATGTAAAAACTTCTGTTTCTGTTTTTTGTGAAGTCGGATTTACAGACCTAGTCTTTGTCCAGCATGTTTAATCAGACTTCAATTTGCCTCGGCGTTGTGCATTTTCTATGAGAGACAGAGGTGTTGCACGACGTGTATTTAATGCTTTGAATATTTTATTACGCATTCTGTCATGTATACTTGGACTGTCTGGTCTATGTAAAAGCCTTGCTGTAGCTTGACTGTAAACGTATTGATTAAGTTATTGCGATTATTTTATTATTATTCTTTTAGAAAGCCTTTGTGTGAGTATTTTGTTTTAATATACTTATGTCTTTTTTTCCTCCATACAGTCATCACGTTATACTGGGAGGATCACATCTTGAGAGGGAATGTTGAGCAACCTGCTATAAGACGACATCAGCTGATTTGGCGAAATAAATCTGTGAAGGACTTCATTCTTTATTTCTTTTCCAGTGGCTGAATGAGCATGCTGCATTCCCTCTGTTCCATCATTTGGTTGAACCGCGGGTTCAAGTTGAGAAAAGTGGCCTGTTCGGCCAACACCGGCCAGGTCTAAGCCGTTGCTACCGCGCATGCCTGTTTATGAGCTCCGGTTAGAAGTGCTTAACTTTTAACTAAACGTCCCACGGTACGACATCAGTCACACCCTCGCAAAGTTTCATCCCCAGTCCGACGTTCTTCTGCCTGGGGTGATTGTCATTTCATACTCTGAAAATGGCTGCCGATGGCTTCCAGTACAGGTCTCTGTACTCCTACTGTAAAGACTGGGAGGATGACATTGACCTTGAGCCTGGTGATATCCTGACGGTCGACAAAGCATCTCTGCTGTCACAGGGCTTTAAAGAGGGAGACAAGCAGCACCCAGAATGCCTCGGCTGGATCTTGGGCTTTAACGAGCGAACCAAACAGAGGGGAAACTTTCCAGGGACGTATGTGCAGTATGTGGGACCTTTGAAAATGTCAGTGCCGTCCTGCCAGCCTCGTTCTCAGAGACTGCTTCCTGCTGTTCCCAGACCTGAGCCAACAGCCTCCTCGCAGGGTAAGACTGGCTGCTTTTACTGTGATGATGACCAATGACTAACCTGCTTAATCTGTGCTAAAGAGCTGTCATAACCTGTTTTGTTTTGGGGACTGACTGCTATGCTTGTTGAATCAGGCCTCAGACCTCTCATAATAAACATCTCGTAATAAAGATTTTTTTATTTTTCCTTTTTTGTTGAAGGAAAAGAGGGAATTTGCTGTTGACAGCAGGCTTCTTCTACAATGAAATCAGTTAGGTGTTGAATCATTAGAGATTTTGCTTGTGCAAGATTTTTTTTCCATTCCACAAAAGGTTCTTTACAGTGTAAAAAGGTTCTTCAGATTATTAAACCGGTTCTTTGGGTAACCTAAAATGGATTCTATGGCATTGCTGTGAAAAACTCCTGTTGGAACCTTTATTTTTAAGAGTGCAGCACAATCATCTATGTAGATGCTACCTTGTACCCTCTTAGTTATTTAGTGTCTCCTTCCCTAAACTGTCTTTGCTCCTGTATTCCTCTGGCACTTTCCCCGAGCTCTTTCTCCTCCTCCTTTTATGCCCTCAGGAAGCAGTAAATTATGGTATGTTTGGAGGCCTGGCACTTCCCCAGGCCAATCTGGAGAGTTAAATGTATCAGGTAGGGCTTTCAGCTTCATCTGCACATTCCCACTCCCATCAGGTGATTTTTGCTTCAATGTCTCCTTTGTGTCCCTTTTTTGGACAGTTAAACTTCTCCAGCACTGCAGTGCACACTAAAAAGAAGTTGTCATATTCAGTTTGTGATGCTTGAATTTTGAAGATGTTGAATTACAGGACCAGATACACACAATTTAGATGCTGCTTTCGAGTTATATCCAGACTAAGGAAAATCTATAGAATTCTGTGTTGAGTATTTTAAAATGCAAGAGGCACGAAATGTGTAGTTTTTTTAAATCCTGATTTCAAGGACCTCAAAAGTCATGGAAAAGCAAAATCTGCTTAATATTTTTTTGGGACCTGTGATATTTTTTCAGGATTCTTTGATAAATAAAAAGTTAAAAAGAACAGTGTTTATTCAAAATAGAAATTTTGTGTTACAATATACACTACTATTCAAAAGTTTGTGGTCAGTAATATTAAAAAAAAATTTTTTTTTAAAGAAATTAATACTTTTATTCAGCAAGAATGTGTTAAATGGATAAAAAGTGATAGTAAAGACTTAGCATTTATTCAAAATAGAAATATTTTCTAAAAATATGTTTTTTTTAACTTGTTATTAATCAAAGAATCAAAGAAAAATGTATCATAGGTTCCAAAGTGATATCAACTCTATAGCGGTTTACCCGAGCATTGCAATTCATTCGCTTTCGCAAATGTCTTTCCCAACTCATTTATGCGTGTGCCCACATTGGGAAGATAGAGGGAACATTGCATATGACCCCTTTAAGGATAAAATGGTAGCAGCACAACTTTTTTTTTCTAAAGTATTACTTTAGGTAGGGCTGGGTATTGATTTCAGATTTCAGGATTTATTTAAATTCTGGATCAAAAGCTCTTGACTCAATTAAATGAACTGTTTCAGTTCATTTGGATATATGCAGGTACATTACATGTCATTTTTATACATCCTTGATGAGCATATGAGACTCCATTAAAAAAACAAGGTCAATTATTTATTAGGTTTATAATATAGGCCTAGCAAAATATAATATCAAAACAAATTGAAGCATTTAAACTGATAGAATAGAATAGAATAGAAAACAAATTGAAGCTTTTGAACTGAGATCTGTAAGTTAAATATTTTTTTAACATCCCTATAAAGTACAGTTTGCACAATACACCAGTGTGTGACTGTAACTGTCTGAGTTTTGTTACCGTTCTGTGCCCATCATCTGCTATTTCCAGCACTTAATCAAGTTCTTTAATACATGATGACGTTTTATTTCACATGTCATTGCGTT